CCTCTTCATGCCACATGGTAAATGCAGTTGTGCCTATTGCCTGTGCTGCAGTGTCACTAACCCCGCCTCAAGCAGTGCTTTCAGGTCCTTCAGTCTCCTGATAGGGGACTGTGCTTTCCCTGGGCTGTGACACACAGGAGTAGACGTTCCTGCTGCTGTGTGCTCCCAGAAATGGACTGGATCCTGCTCAACATCCCATCGTGGGATGCTGGGGCTGTTTGCGCTTTACAAGACCCCAGGGATTGGGTTAGAACATCCCCTCCTTTACTTGGGAGGATTTGGCACTACCAAAGCCGTGGAACAGAGGCCTCTTGCGCCTGCTCTGAGCAGTGTCTGGTGTGGCGGAGTTGGGCCAACTCCTGCTGTGAACTGGAGGCCAAAGATCCCTCCTGGCCTCTATCCTGGTGACTTAACAGCTTGTTCTCTGTTAGTGAGGCACCTCTGGCTGCAACTCTGCAGCAGAACTCGGGGCAGGGACTGCTGCTGGGTGTGAAGGCAGCCACACCGCTACAAACATAAAGCTTTATTTCCTTTCAGGGAGCAGCTGAGGGACCCTGGATGCACCATCCCGATGCCTCCTCTTGACTCCAGGCCATGGGAAAGGGCCTCCTCAGCCTTATCTGTAGGAATTGGCCTTGTGTTTAGGCAGGAAGGTGAAGCTGGGGGGGACGGGGCCCAGCAGCAGCTCACTGGAAGACACAAAGAGCAGAACAGAAACAAGGTGAGGTTTGTGTTCAGTACAACAGAGGCAATGGTACCCTGGGGGCTCTGCAGCGATGGTCAAATAAACCTGGAAATCACCCCCAGCCTCTGAGAAGCTCTTCCCCACCCCTCACTGTGCTTGTGCAGAGCCAAAACCTTCTTAGTGCCAAAACCCATGAAAGGCAGATCCTAAAATGATGTAAACCAGTTCTACCACGCTTAGATTTAGCTTAGCTTAAGACTAATGAGTGTTTCACACGTTGCCTTTTCAGTGTAGAGTCATTTGCTTTATAGTCCAGGAGGTTTAACTGATGTCCTGGATGCTGGTTCAATACAGCATCACTAAAGCTTTCCATAAGTCATGTCAGAGCAGCCCAGCAGGGCACAGCATAGCACAGCAAGAGCCTGAATCTGCAGCACAAAAGCAGAGCAGGAGTGTGTTCAGAGAGCCCTGCTTCTGGTTAGTGTCTCCTCAAAATGAGCTTAAAGGAATAAACCTCAACTGCTTAAAATGTTCGGTTCTGGCTATAAATGGCACTGCAAAGAGCAGAGGAGATGTGCAGCCTCATGTGGGCAGCTTCTGCTTGGAAAATGGCATTTAGAAGTTCTGATCAAAACTTACTTTACTTGTAACGTGGCTTTAGGCAGCTGGTCTCAGTGGTAAGAGAGTGAATGAGGATTAGCAAAGCCACAGAAGGCTGTGCCCATGCTCTGGTTTTGCTCATCTCTCTTTCCATGAGCTGGGAAATAGCAGCTGGCTGCTCCAGCTCTCATTTTAGCTGCCTTTGAGCTTGCAAAGGCAGCTCAAGCCAGTGCCTGAGGACTCGTAGACGTGAGGAAAACCAGTTTCCTACACTTGCTGCATAGACTCAGAAATCAGATAATGAAAAAGGGGGAATATCCTCAGCTCTCCCAGCCTGGGGATGGGAACAGGATGTGGGCCTGGCAGGGTGGGACTGTCCAGGCAGAGCACGCAGGGAGCAGATGCTGAAAGCCTGAGATACCCAATGCTTGTGCTTCCTCCCTTGGTTCCTACATCTGTCCTGGGATAAGCAGTGTGTCATGAGAGGGTCAGCTAGAGCAAGGATTGCAGCAGGTACTGCACGACCTGCTGAAGCTGATGCAGGGACTGAGAAAGCTCTTCATGGCAACTCCAAACTTAGTTAAAACCTTGAAGTAAAGCCCTGGTTAACCCTTGCTGCTTCCTGACAACCCCTCTGGAGGATTCACAAAATCACTGCGGGGCTCTGAGATGTCCCTTGTAGCAACTGAAATGAACTTCAGCGTTTTCTGACCTTATTCTAATCCAGTCATCCACGTTCTGGCTCGCCATCAGTGTCTCCAGGTAGTCCCTCCCCAGGTAGTAGGGTGGCCGCTCATTAATCTTCTGAGGTAGGAATTCCAACAAGCCAACGGGAATGTACCTGCAACGGAATGCAATGGCAGCGTGTGCTGTGTGCAGGTGGCACAGGCTTCCCTCTCAGCTGGGAGGCATTACCTGCACAGGAACGAAAGCCATTCCAGCAGGAACTTCCTGGTCTTCTCCACTCCCTGAGTATCTGAGCCCCAGTGCTCGAGGCCGTAGTTAGTGAAGTCTCTGAGTAGCTCGAATCTCTCACTGGAGGAGATATCCCAGTGCCTCTGTTCCTTGATTTCAGTGAAAAGCCATGGCTTGATGAGTGCCCCTCTGCAGCCAAAACCCAGTGGGCATCGTTATTGCCATGACTGATGCTTGTGAAGATGCCAACTCATTTAAGAGACTTTCCAGCACTTTGCCAGCCAATTTCCCTCCCCGTCTCAACAGGAAGCTGCTGGAAGTTCCCACAGATGGAAACTCATTTTACCCACTTCCAAGGAGGAGTTTCACCAAGAGGGAATTTCTCATGGTTTGGGTTGGTTTAAGTATTTTTTTCTCAATTCCTTTTAGACTCTTGCAGCAATAGCAAAGGGGAAACCCAGGCACTTGCCTTGCAATCATGATTCCTGAGACTCCCATCTGCATGGCTCGATTTGCATCTTCATAAGACAAAATATCACCATTTCCTGTCCAGAAGGAAGGGAAAGGCCAGAGGTCAAAGTGATAAGAGAGTGAGACAAAGTGAGTTAATCCAGGCATGGATAAAGCTCAGAATGGGCACAGGGTCCAAGTGCCAGATTTGGCCAAAGAGGCTCTGGGCTCCTGTTTCTGAATCAGAAACATCTCAGGGATGTATATGATTCCTTTTCCTTGTAAGGGGAACTTTAGAGCCGCCTTCTCTCTTCTTCTCCCAACTCCTACCCTGTAGGTTTAGCTGAGACTGTCTGTGCCACAGTGCCCATGGGAGAAAGCATCTGCTAAAACCTAAGTGCTTGGTGTTGTGCCTGTTCCTTGTCCTCCTCCATCTCCTCCTCTGCTCAGTGCTCATCACACACAGCCCCAAGCACATGGGCACATCAGCACAAGAGCTGCTGGTAACTCATTCCGTCGTGTCATCACCACCATCAGGGATACTCCAACCTTTCCCGCAGGCCAAATGTCCTTGGAGGGGGGGGCCTGGTTTGCTTCTTTAAGCCCAAACATGCAGCACTTTCAGTCCACATGACAAAAACCAGCAACACCTACCAAAAAGAGGCATGGGGCTTGCCACTTGAGCACACTCTGCTATGTAGTCCCAGTCAGCGCTCCTTGTGTAGCGCTGCTCCCTGGAGCGGCCGTGGAGCTGGGAAGGAAAGTCACAGTGAGACCTCATGGAATGCCCAGGAGGAGGCAGAGGAACAGGCTTCAGCAGGCTGGGGAAAGGGATCCCTCTGGAGCTGCAGCCCAGCCCAGGCTGAAGAAGGGCTGGATGTTTTCTGAGTCATGTTTGGGCTATTTGCAAGCCAGAGCAAGAAAGGACTGTTGAGTGAAAGGGAATATCACTGTGGGCAGGAACTCCCCATGCACATGAGCTGGTCCCATCGCTTCCCAGCCCTGCTGTAACGATGCTTATTTGGCTGAAACCTCTGTTCCCAGAGTACTGCAAGGAACAATCTCCCCCCGTAATGGATCCAAGGCTCAGGAGCACCCAGGAAGATGCTCTCTGCACCTCCATTTTTCTCTGTTATTAGCAGGAAATGCTAAAAGACAGTAGGCAGCTGGTCAAAGGTGTTTGAAAGAACTGTGGGGAAGGGTAAGGTCACCCCCACATTAGGCTCTGGGACGTGGAAGCAGAGTTCCCCAGATAACACAGCAAGTATCCCTGTACCGTGACCATGGCTGCTCCCCACTCCCGGAGCTTAGGGATTAGTTTATGAGCCAGATTAATCTTCTCTTGCACCCCTGTCCGGATCTTCACGGTCAGTGGGACATCCAGCACCTACAGAAGAGGAGAATGAGGCCGGGCTGGGGCAGGAGTTGGCTCCATCAGCTCCTCTCCTGCTGCCCCCACTCACCGAGTTCATCCCCCGGACGATCTGTTCAAACTTGTTGGACCGAGTCATCAGAGCACAGCCTCCTCCCTGCGGGACACAACGGGGCACAGGCAGGACTTGCTGCCTCCTTCCATAGGGAAGAGCCTCCTGGAGCTGCTCAACAGCAGCCCTCAGGGATGCACGTTAAGACCTGGAGCATCTCCAGACTTGGAGAAAGGGGACTCTGACTAAAAACCCCCAGCCTTTTCCCTCCCAGCTTCTGCCAGAGACAGGTAACCAGCTCTGAACAGCTTATTTGCCTTCCCGCTGAAGTCTAGTGCCCATAAATGAACTGAAGGCTCCGGATCAGACTGACAGGAGCAGATCAGGTAGTGAGGAATGAGACAAAAGACAAGCATCTCATGAAGGAAGCAAAACACAGTGCAGAACATCTTCTTACCTTCTTGTAGACCAGGTCAATGGGACACCCGACATTGATGTCTACAAAGTCTACTTCAATTGTCTGGTTCAGGAGCTCTGCACATTTGGTCATTGTGTCTGGAAACGCTCCCTCCAGCTACCAAAGAGGGACAGTTGCATGAGTTCAAGCAGCAGCTTTTCTCCTCAGAAGTGAGGTATCATTTGAAGAAGTGAGGGTGCTGAGGCGCTGGCACAGGGTGCCCAGAGAAGCTGTGGCTGCCCCATCCCTGGCAGTGTTCAAGGCCAGGTTGGACACAGGGGCTTGGAGCAACCTGCTCTAGTGGAAGGTGTCCCTGCCTGTGGCAGGGGTTAGGAACTGGGTGAGCTTTAAGGTCCTTTCCAACTCAAACCATTCTAGGATCTATCATATGTTTGGTTGTCAAGATGACAGCACTCACCTGCACCCCAAAAATGTCTTCAGTGTGATGGCGTTTGAGGAGAGCCCACTCGGAGGCCTGGCCCTGCAGCAGGTTTGTGCACACAGCCATCTCTCCACAGGTGACATCTGCCCCCAGGCGCTTGCAGATCCTTCGGAAAGGGAGGTTACCACACTGAAGGAGACAGCAAAGAGATGCTCTGTCAGGAGGTTCGCTCTGTTCCAAATGTGGCAACACCAACTTGTGAGGAAAGGACAGAATCATCTACCTACCGTGGTCAGTGGAGCCAAGTAGAGCTTGCCTTGGATTTCCAGCTGGAAAACAAGGATGGAGGAGCACGTTAGCAAATCTGAACCAGCAGTGGTTAAACAGGAAGATCTCTGTTAGCAGTTTTATCACTTGCCTTGGGTGAAACTCAGTGGGTAACCCAGGAAAACACCGTTTTGTTGGAAAACCTCAACTATTCCCTGAGAATATATCATTTGGATAGAAGAACCAGAAACCTGAACCACTCAATCCTGCTCAGCTTGGAGGAAACTCGAAACAGTTACAGATATAGAAGGATGCAAGAATGGTTATTGGATTCAAGGATGGAGGTGGCAAGAAAGAAAAGCAGGAGGCAATGCTCTCACCCAGGAGAGCACTGTGCAGTACACAAACCAACCAGCCCCAGCCTTGGCTCTCCTCATAGACCACTCCCACCCTCACTGACAGCTCAGCCCCAACCCTCCTTCATGTGCAAGGGGCTGCAGCTTCTCTTGGTTCTCACCCCTCCAAGGACAATAACACATCCCTGCATCCTTCTCCTGATGACATAACGTGGTTCTGAGGCAGCTCTGTCCTCTGCCTGCCTCTCACCCAGCTAAGAGGTCTCTTATCAGGTACACAAGAGAGAGCAGCCCTCAACCAAATTCTCACCTTCCTCTTCTCACATGGCCGTAGTTTTATCACATCTTCATCTGTCACTGGACCCACTGTTTGGATAGAGGAAGCCTCCTCATCATCTCTGGGGCTGGGACTCTGCAAGCCGTCTGCTTTGGGATCTTCTCGCTGCTCTGGTAGCACAGGACACGTGGCATCATCCCCACTGCCCTCCTGGGGTGTTGTGCAGTTGGACACCTCTTGCTCCTCTGCAGAACACCCCGTGGCTTTGCCTCCCTTATTGCCATCACCACGGGGCTTGGCCAGACCACGGAGGAACTCCTCAGCCTTCTGGAAGCTGAACTTCCTCTTGCGCAGCTGGTGCTGGAGATCCTTGGAGAGGTTGTTCCTCACCAGCGCCTTCCCTTCCCACTGCTTGGCCAGCTCCGTGTTGATGATGTTCTGGAAGCTGTCCCCAAGGTGGGCCTGGGCGAAGCGGCAAGTGACCCCATACGTGCACTTGCCAAAGGTTTCGAAGAGGACACAGCGGTGGCCCAGGTCTGGTGGCTTCAGGCCCATGTACTCACCAACATCGTGAAGGAACCGGCACCGCGTCCCGAAGAAGCACTTGTCTGCACAGCCCTTCCAACAGGAATGACGAGGTTAAAACCTCTGCACAAGCACCTTCAAACCAAGCTGAGCCTGGGTCTGCCCTGGCCCAGAGCTGCTCTGAGCAACCAGCAATCCCTGGGTGCCCCATGAGATGCTGCCTGGAAGCTCAGTGCTGGAGCGTGCTGCAGAATGGCACTGATGTACCCACTTGGGGATGTTTTAGTGGGACAACTTGACTTGTCCCACTCAGCTCATCCTGCTTCATCCCTCCCAGCCAGCACTGCCCCTGCTACACTCTCCCTGCCTGGAGTTTGCCCCAGAGCAGTACTATCTTCAATGTGCTTAAAAAGAAATGCAGCCCTTGAGCAGGAAGGGATCAAAGTTACGGAATGGTCTGGTTGGAAGGGAGCTTAAAGCTCATCCAGTCCCAACCCCTGCC